GGTTTATCCAATACCTTATGTATGTTATTCGGTTGAAGGGGTTCCAGGTTTTCTAAGTTAGGTATTGACACAGTCAGAGAGAATGTGAGTGGACAATGTACATCCGAGAAAAGGGGAGAGAACTCCTGTATATCAAATGTTATAAAGAGGGGTAGGCACATTGGGGAAGCAATGACATAATCAATTACAGTTTTGTCCTTACATGTTGTTTTTCCAATAAGTCCATCCGTACCCAGTCGTCCATTTCCTATAAATAAATTCAGATTTTTACAGATATCAATCAGTTTATTCCCGAAGTTATTTATCTTGAATCTATCCTGCGTGCCCCTCACCCTTGGCAAATTCAAGTCATCCAGTGAAGATTCAGGCTCAATTTCTTTTCTTATCTCATTTACATCTAGATCAAATTCATCAATTATATATTCATCAAAAACATTATAATCACATAAATCACTTGTTCTTGCATTAAAATCACCGATGATTGTAACATAATCACTATTTGAGAATACCTCAAGTATAGATTTTTCTATTTCAAAGAATGTATCAGCAGTAACATATTTTGACCCCTCGGGCGGGATGTAGGCATTGCCTAAGTAGAAGTCTTGGTCCAAGTTAAATAATTTTCTGCAAATTTTAATCCATTGAATATGCTCACACTTTACCTCAGTAGGAGTGATATAGTTTACATATTTATTTCTAATTGCTATACCTAATCCCCCTGATTTTCTCAGGGCTCCTGATCTATTTTGGAGAAATAGAGTATATCCGTCAATTTGTAAGTCATCCAAGGAATCAGTTTTTGTTTCTTGAAGGCCTATTATGTCTCTACTTTTGAGCAAGGTATTAAATTCTTTGTACCCTAATCGTTTTCTAAGTCCACACACATTTAAGCTTAGGAATTTTAACTTATTTATAATAATATCATTTCTAATTTTAGGGTCATCAGCATGATCACTTTCTGTAAAATCATCATCATCATCATCATCATTATCATCATCATCACCTCCGTCATCATTAACCTGATTTGCATCATTAGTATTATCGTTATCACCAGAATTGTCTCCTCGGGAAGATTCACTCTCTGGAATACAATTCTCTGCAATGTTAATATGTTTAGCAATAGCATTGGCCCTATTATTTGGGGGGTGATCGGAAGTAACCTCAGACATATGGGAAGAGTATTTTGTATCAAGTAAATTATTTTTGATTTGAGTGACTGTGCAGTTTGTAGCATCAAGGGATGATAAAATAGAGTCACATTTCACCACATCGTCATCAACATCAACAAGATATGCATCATTTGTATTACTGGTATTACCAGTGTTTTCTCCTGGAGAAACTTCAGAGTCTGGAATACAATTCTCTGCAATGTTATTATGTTTAGCAATATCATTGGCCCTATTATATATCTGTTTGGTTATGCAATCAATTGTTTGGGGGTGATCAGTAGGAACCCCAGACATATAAAATGTAGATTTTGTTGCAAGTACATTATTTTGGATGAGGGTGACTGTGCCATTTGTAACATCAGAGGATGATAAAATAGAGTCACATTTCACCACATCATCATCATCATCATCATCATCATCATCATCAACAACCTGATTTGCATCATTTGTATTACTATTATTGTCAATGTTTTCTCCTGGGGAATATTCGCATTCTGGAATAGAATTCTCTCCAATGTTATTATGTTTAGCAATATCATTGGCCCTTTTATTTATCTGTTTGTTTATACAATCATTTTTTTGGATGTGTTCAGCGGGAGGTTCAGACTTATTAAAAATAGATTTTGTTTGTAATAAATTATTTTGGATAAGATTGACTGGGTCAATTGTAACATTAGGGGATGGTATATTAGAGTCACATTTCAACATATCATCATCAACATCATCAACATCATCATCAACATCATCAACATCATCATCATCATCATCATCATCTTCATCATCATCTTCATCGGCATTAACATCAGCCTGGTTTGCATAATTAGTATTGCCATTTCCACGGATATTATCTCCTAGGATAGATTCACTTTCTGGAATACAATTCTCTACCATGTTATTATGTTTAGCAATATCATTGGACCTATTATTTACATGCTTGTTTATGCAGCCAATTGTTTGGGTGTGTTCGGTGGGAGCCTTAGACATATGAAAAATAGAAGTTGTTTGAAATAAATTATTTTGGATAAGATTGACTGTGTCATATGTAACGGCAGGGCATGGTGTATTAGAGTCACATTTCAACATACCATCATCAACCTCATAAGCCTGATTTGCTTCAATAGTTTTACTTTTATTAACAGTGTTTTTTTCTGGGGAATAATCACATTCTGGAATACAATTCTCTGCAATGTTATTATGTTTAGCAATATCATTGGCCCTATTATATATCTGTTTGGTTATGCAATCAATTGTTTGGGGGTGATCAGTAGGAACCCCAGACATATAAGATGTAGATTTTGTTGCAAGTACATTATTTTGGATGAGGGTGACTGTGCCATTTGTAACATAAGAGGATGATAAAATAGAGTGACTATTATCACTAGTATAATCTCCTGGGGGAGATTCACTTTCTGCATTACAATTTTTTGCAATATTATCATATTTAGCAAGATCATTGTCCTTGTTATTTACTTGCTTGTTCATGCAGTCAGTTGTTTGGGGGTGATCATTTGGAGCCCCACACATATGAAAAGGAGATTTTTCTGAAAAATTATCAGTTTGGGTGAGAGTAACTGTACCTAGTTTTACATCAGAGGATGGTATAAGAGGGTCAATTGTCACCACATCATCAACAGACGGGCAATCCTTAGGTAGACCTGAAACACCAAGAGGATTATAGTTGTCAGTACATGAGTTATTAATAAATAAAGTTATGTTGTGAACAGCAGAGGCAGCTGAGTTATCAGATTGTTCTGAAAGTTTAGTCCTATTTCTGTATCTAGACTTTTTACCCCAGGGGCTAAAGTCTATACCAGGATCAGAGTCTTGTAAGCATGGGGTGTGAAAAATACTAAAATAGTCACTCTTGAACTCGTGTCCACCCTCCCATTCCTATGCTTGACCAGATTGCTTGCGGGGTGTCCTGTAGGGTGGTGGGGTGTGAACGTCCTGAAGCAATCTGTTGATGTACAGCTTATCAACCACAATGTAAGCTTGCTTACCCTTCTGTCGAGCCTCTCTCAAAAGTGGCATTAGCACTTCTCGCCTATACTGGCTCACCTCTTCATGAAATTGCTCCACGATAGAAAAGGGTTTACCCTTCAATTTATTTGCTGCTGCCTTCACCGAATTTCTCTCCCTCGTGTAGATAAACTTTGCTATCAGGGCACGGGGCCTGACAGTATCTCCTGCATGTCTTGGGGGTCGGGGCCTGCCGATTCTGTGGACTCGTACTAATTTCATGTTTTCGGCGTCTAGATCCAGATGTTCTTTAATGAAGTTTTTCAAAATTTTCTCACAATGTTCAAGAGTCGCCTCCGGTTCCGTCTCAGGTATATTGTTGAAAATTAGATTATCTCGCATTGAGCGACAATGTTGATCAATCAAGGATTCTTTCAGCGAGAGATTTTCTGCCTTCAAATTTGATAAATTTGGAACACAATCCCCAATCTGATCTTTTAATGCCTTCATGTCGCTTTTTATCATAGCCTTGTCCGTCGTCCACGTGTCGAAACAGTCACTCATAAATTGGTTAGATTCCGCAATATCATCTAATCGCGTTCTCAATGTGTCTATTTCTTGTACTTTATGTTCAAGTTTGGACATGTTTGTTTTGATGGAAGTTTTGAGAGTTTCTTGTCAATGAGATCAAGCTCGTCACACCGAAGACCCGGGTTCGATTTCCGACATGGGTACAATGTGTGAAGCCCATTTCTTGTGTCCCCTGCCGTGATATTGCTGCAATATTGCTAAAAGCGGCGTTAAACCATACTCACTCACTCACTTTAACAGGGTGACAACAAAATAACCTGAGTCAGTGTGACCTTCGGGGATGTCTCAGGTCTGACCAGTAACAATAAACACATTATACATGTTCAGTGGAGCAGAGTTATAATATTTGTTATATGCAAATTGTGTGTGTGTCTAAAAGCGGCGTAAAACCATACTCACTCACTCATTTGGCTGGAGTTAAGTTAATAAAAGTTAATAATAGAAACCGTACACCTTATCAGCAGAAAGCGACTTTTTAGCTTGATGCTTGATTTGTGATATAGCGTGACTGGCCTTCCTCTAAATAACAAACAGTACGACTAAAGAGGATGAATAATTACCAGTAATACTGCATATTTGGTTGACTGTCACTGGTGTCATTCATGAACTGACTATGTTAGTTCAAATGCGTGCATGACATTGAATTACGAGCAAAGTTTAAATAATTATTGAAAACAAACACCCCTTAAACTGCCTCATAGCGCGAAGAATACAAACTGCTAATTTCTTGGGGTTTTTTTTATTGTGTATTTTCACTCTAGTGGTAGAGCGTCCGCCCGGAGAGCGGAAGGTCCGGGGTTCGATCCCCGACCGCGTCATACCAAAAGACGTTAAAAGATGGTACTTGTTGTTACCCTTTCTGGCGCTCGGCATTAAGGGGCTTAAACAAGTACTGGTCGGCTCGGAGTCAGTATACTGTGTCTGAGTGGGGTATTCATGTTAAACTGTGGCATGGTATCTCAGTGAGCTAGCACTATAAATCGGCATCAGTCCGGACTAGTACAAGCAGCCACACACACACAAACACGTGCATGCACGTCGCTATATAAGTGAAATAATCTTGGACGCGGCGTCAAACCCCATTTCATCTCACCTCACCTCACCTTGTATTTTCACATTAGACAGAAGCCACTGTACCTTGTATACTATTTCTGTAACACAATACGTTTCTTTTTGTGTGGTTCTTTGTGCAGGGTGTATCCAACTAGGCCATTGGTTTCTGATTACCGGGCATGTGAAGAGAGTGTACGTAAGTAGAACGGGTCAAATAGAATGTCTGGGAAGCGATCCGCACGTTTCTATACACACATCGCGTTGAAAGGTGTTCAGTGAACGTGAACGTCTCCTCTATTCAAATACAAGTTCCTAGGACGGGTGTGTTTCACGCCGAGCACAGTTCTCTGTGGCTGTATAACTGCGTATTTGTGTGGTCCATCAAGGTAGGATTTGTCTTTATTTCTCGTAAACATAGGGTAACGCAAATTTTGACATCGTCCATTGAAAAATGTGTTGAAAATTTAATCGGATCTTGACTTTTATAGCTAGATTGACGTGGGATATAAGGCGCGAGAAAAGGATTTTAAAAGCATTTCTTGAATGACATCAAGTTAGGATTTCTTGTATTTCTTGCGAAAACGTAAACAAAACATTACACTTATTAAGTAAGCATTCATTGAAAAAAGTGTTAACAGTTGAAAGGGATTTAAATTTGTATAGCTAGTATCCGCCGTAGAAAATGTATGTTGTTCTAGGGGATACTTCTTCAATATACAACACAAATCCGTCTGCGGGTCCACAACGTTTTATTGTGCATGGGAGCTGTTTCGTGTTCAGCTCCCAGATCTCAACTGCCAGCTCGCGCCGGTCTTGATGGATATATATCTTTCTAACATTCATTACTATTCTTTATAAGGTAATACGTACAGCCATGCTATGTAGTATCTCGTCCACAACCCACATGCCTCACGTGCAGTGGTCGTCTTGGTGATCTTACTCTTGGCCTTATAAGACAACAGCATGAAGTTGCAGTCCCACAACTCCAAGAGTATGTATGGCCGGCCTCCCGCATCCCTCACTAGCCCCCAGTGAAACAGCTGTCCAGTGCACGCCTGACCTGTGACCTGGTCACTCCCCCACGAGGGGCTTGCTTGAGGGGGGGGGGGGGGGGAGAGAATGTGCGCTACTGCCCAGCGCACACTGCTCGCGGTACATTGTATATTACCGCATGTGGTATACTGTATATATCTCTTGACATACTGTATACTGCATGTGATATACGATCCGATCGTGACGAAGGACGTGTCCTCACGTCCTTAATAAGGGTTGTGAATGAGATCTAGTCGGCAATCGATATATATCAAAAGGAATTTCCTTAATGTTGTCTAATCGCTAAACAATAAATATTATAGATAAACAATAAATATTATAGATGGACATGAATTTAGAATTAGATTTGGTGGGATGTACAATGTTTTGCTGTGGACCACTTTTTGTCTTAATAATCGTTCAATACAATTTACTAACACATTCACATACATATGTACAGTCATGATATACAACCAATCATATAAACATACGAACAATGATCTGCTTATGCTGGTTTATAACAGTAGGCATCAGTAATGAGAAAAATACCACCAACACTACGGTGGGGAATCTATTTTTTGTTCCATGTTCATGTTTCTTATGGCTAGATTAATACCTGTATATGACATAATATGATCAGATAATAAGCCAAATTAGCCTATCAGTCATCATCGTGTATAAACAAACTATCATATTTCCTCCTTATCTTTTACTTTACACACATCAGTCGTTCACTCTTGCGTTCACTGACCCACGTTCAGCCTACACATTATGCTTTCAAATTAATGTATATAACGTAAAATTTGACATTAGCAATCACTCTCCTTTCTTCTGCGCATCCATGTTAGTTACATACAATTACATCACAAAACATCAACATTTACCATGGCACTTATCTTGTTTACAATTTCCCCTCGGGTATGGCTGGCCCTTCTACTAGTACCGGGACTTAGAGGAGAGAGGATGATTGCTCTATCCCCCTCCCATGGGTATCGAACACGCCTGTGTGTCTGTCCGTGATCAAGGGACAGATAGACGGTGGAATCCATCAGCCACCCTGCCGCATAGCGACATGACACCTGGTGTCTCTCCAGGGCCCCAGACAATGGCGTGATGGCTCTTTTGTCTGCGGGTTGTCCTGTACCTGTTTATACACAGTTGACACCTCTCCTCCTCTCCATCACTACACTACTACTCCTCTCCTTCTCTCCATCACTATATTATCATTTCTTCAATATAACACCCGGTGTCTCTCCAGGTCCCCAGACAATGGCGTGATGGCTCTTTTGTCTGAGGGTTGTCCTGTACCTGTTTATACACAGTTGACACCTATACGAGACACAAAACTGCGCACACCTTTCATCCCCAAGCCTGTCATACATAAATATAAATATTACATATACAGATGATGACCGAACCACAAGTTAATTTTTATAGTATATCAAATTTCGTATCCAATGAAAGGTGGCAGATACATTTTGTTGCATTGTTGTACATAATTAACGATTGTATATAAAACTATAACCTTCACACATAAACATACATGTAAACACAAATTGTACAACCTAACAAACACATATGTTGACAATGTTTCATCTATCATCCGATTTTGTTTGTAGGTAAGTTGAGGTGTTCGGTTTGTTATGTCTTTGGTTTGTGTGGCGATGAATGCACGGTTGTGTATATGGTATAAAAAGTAGACTTTGAATCACTGTTGGTATTTTAATGAGATCATCAGTGAAGCATTACGAAGAGTTTGTTTGAAATTTGATTAAAATATATGTATCTCTCTGGCTCACACACATCCTTTTATTCTTTCTCTCTCACTCTGCTTAGCTCTTTCTCTTCCCCCCTCGCACGCAGCATATTTCAACTACAGCATAATAAATACAATAAACCTCTTGTCATCAATACACATCATAATAGAAGTGGACGAACATGTCCAGATCACAAACAATAATCAATACAATTATCAATAACTGTACTACATATACAGGACAAAGAAATCTCACATACGGCCAGTCGTAACATTCCTATCAGCTTGCATTCGTTCTCATATATTCATACACACAAGAGAGAAATCAAATATTGTATATCTTATCCGAATAATCATGTGAAGGACTTAGACTGCATAAAATTAAACCGTTATCTAGTATCTAAACGTCTGAGGATAAAAAGCTGATGTACGTCAGCATATAATATGAAGGTTATTAATTTAAACTTCTGATTAATATAAAAGCCATTAACAGGTTAATATATTCTGTATGTGCGGGAGTGGAGTACGCGGGTGTCTAACTGTGTATGCATACTGTGACAAAAGTCCATAAACATAACATAAAAAGAAAGTGCAACATAGACATGACGTTTGGGCAGTTGGTATAGAATGTAGATTTGGGTGGGGGCGCTTCGTGTTGAAGAGGCGAACTTGAAGAGGAAGAGTGACGCGAGTGAGTTTCATATGCTAATGGGCTGTATGGAATGCCCCATGGATCGCAAAGTACATTCATGGCGTTATATATTTTTGTTTTATATAAAAATGGGAATAAAAAATAGTTCTTACCAATAAATGTTCCAATGAATGAAATAGATGAATTGTTCCAAGAAATAAATAATAAAATGTTCGTTTAAGAAAACAAATGTCACTTCGTTCTTGAGAAATGTTTCTTGAGAGAGGATACTGCAGACAAACAATATACACACTGCAGACACACAGTAGAATGAAGAAAGCTAAGACTTCTCTGGTTCAGGCACTGATCTTGTAGTTGATGATATTTATCAAGGACTGTGTGACGCTTCGCTGGTCTTTTACCTTCCTAGTGGTAGAGGGCGGTTGCGATGGCTGAAATAACCTTCAGATTCTTCTTTTATTGGTCTTCCCAGAAGTTGCCGGTCCCAGCTAACGGTGGAGGGGTGGTGACAAGGTCTCAGAGTAGGGAAAACGATGAAGACAATAATGATGAGCCGATATCAAGCTTTATGAAATAGCTTGAGAGTAGACGAACCACATGAACCAGAATTCTGACTGTTGTTATTGCTGTTGTTGTGGCCGTCGTTGTTGCTGTTGTGGATGGTGCTGTGGATGAAGTTGTGGATGATGTTGTGAACGACGTTGTGGCTGATGTTGTAGATGATGTCGTGGACCCCAGACGAATAATAGAAATTCACTTCGTGTTGACTACCTTCTTTATCTTGGTGCTTTGGGTTTGAGGTACCGAGGATCGAAGCTCCACCAATATATCCGCCGTAGAAAATGTATGTTGTTCTAGGGGATACTTCTTCAATATACAACACAAATCCGTCTGCGGGTCCACAACGTTTTATTGTGCATGGGAGCTGTTTCGTGTTCAGCTCCCAGATCTCAACTGCCAGCTCGCGCCGGTCTTGATGGATATATATCTTTCTAACATTCATTACTATTATTTATAAGGTAATACGTACAGCCATGCTATGTAGTATCTCGTCCACAACCCACATGCCTCACGTGCAGTGGTCGTCTTGGTGATCTTACTCTTGGCCTTATAAGACAACAGCATGAAGTTGCAGTCCCACAACTCCAAGAGTATGTATGGCCGGCCTCCCGCATCCCTCACTAGCCCCCAGTGAAACAGCTGTCCAGTGCACGCCTGACCTGTGACCTGGTCACTCCCCCACGAGGGGCTTGCTTGAGGGGGGGGGGGGGGGGGGGGGGGGGGGAGAGAGAATGTGCGCTACTGCCCAGCGCACACTGCTCGCGGTACATTGTATATTACCGCATGTGGTATACTGTATATATCTCTTGACATACTGTATACTGCATGTGATACTAGATTGAAGTGGTTTATACTACGCGAGTTATCAGGTTTCATACGCGTCGCTTGAATGACTTACAAACATACATGTGTCATCAATTGAATCGAATTAAATTAAGTGCCTAAGTTCCACACTGCCATCGCTCAAGTATGTTCTACTTTCCATGCAAACGATTCCCGTGAAGATCCGGGGTAGAATAGGTCTTCAGCAACCCATGCTTGCCGTAAAATGCGACTAACGGGATCGGGTGGTAAGGCTCGCTGACTTGGTTGATGCATGTCATCGATCCCAACTGCATAGATCGATGCTCATGAAGTCAATCACTGGATTGTCTGGTCCATTCTCGATTAATTACAGACCGCCGTCGTATAGCTGGAATATTGCTGAGTTCGGCGTTAAACAACAAACAAACAAATAAAATCATACAGTTAGAATATTGCTGACGTTGGCCTTAAGCAGTAAACATAAATCAGTTGTACGTGAGTGAAACGCTTCTACTGTCAAAGTACAAGAATATTTATATTATTGATGTAAAGTTAGGCATAGATGTAACCTGGCGTAAACTCACGCCATATAATTGAATCATTTAGGCACTCACTATTATAGCGTTATAACAAGTTATAATGATGTTTTATGACCCATTTCAACGTCTTTCTATTGAACCTCAGTCACGCACTCACTCATCCACCACGACCAATATCGATGTCACTTGATGTTTGATAATTATCCTAAAACGTGACTCACTAAGTTAGACATAAATTTAGTGTAGTTTCAGGATTTGCCAATCTCACTAAAATCATATCTTAGTTCTTGCTGCCGCTAAACAAAGATCTGAGGACATCCCATTACGGGTCACGTCAGACCGACCTTGCGCGAACTTTGACCGACCAATGGAATGACCAATCAGAAGGAAGCTTTCTCGTGCTTTACGGCACTAATTTCAAATTGGCGACTACGCTTCGAAACATATTTCAACAAATTCTCGATCACAAATTTGAAACCTAAACAAAAGAACATTCTGAAATGGCTAATAGATGATCTAGATTGTATGGATTCAGTCGTTAAACCCCTAACTATCGTTCGGAATACCCCGTGTTAAAGTTTTTCGAAATTGCATGATTAGAAATCACATTCCGACTGTCACTTTCATAATATGGTAAGCGACGCTCTGATTGGTGGATGAAAAGGTCGTTCTGACGTGATCCCTAATGGGATGTCTTCAGATCTTTGTTTAGGTCTGATTTTAATGAGATTGAGGATTTGCAAACATGTGATCATAATGTTTTTAAGACCCATTTAAATTCGATTCAGTGTTACTGAACCTCAACCACCTACTCGCTCATCTCGACCCTACACATGACTTTATAATGATTATATTTTAAATATTTTACAGACAAACCATGACGCAGATGCTGCTGTGCACACTGGTCTCCTGCCTCATCACAACAGCACAGAGAGCGTCTGGACAGGAAGTCGACACCACGCATGGCAAAGTTGTTGGTCTGAGAGCTTCCGTCCTTGGCAAGTCCATCGACACCTACTATGGTATTCCTTATGCTAAACCCCCCATAGGTGATCTTAGGTTCAAGTACCCACAACCAATTGACCCTTGGCGACCGGAGGTCAAGGACGCACTTTCAATGAAACCATCGTGCCATCAAGCAGCTCAATCTGCATACGGAATGCCTTGGAGAGCAATTCCACCCCTCTTCAGTGAGGATTGTCTCTACATCAATGTATGGGCGCCAGCTAATGTCACATCGAATACGAAACTCGCAACCCTGGTATGGATCTATGGTGGAGGGTTTGTGACGGGATCTATTAACACGCCTTTGCATAATGGTCAGTATCTTGCTGCTGAAAACAACGTCATCGTGATGTCCATGAACTATCGCCTGGGTGCTCATGGCTTCTTATATCTTGGACCCGACACGTTTCCTGGTAACCAAGGTCTCATGGACCAGGCTCTTGCCCTGCAGTGGATACAGAACAATGTTGAAAAATTTGGCGGAGATGCAAGCATGATCACCTTGTTTGGAGAAAGCGCGGGGGCAGCATCGATTGGGCTTCATTTGTTATCGCCCATATCACGCGACTTCTTCACGCGGGCCATTCTTGAAAGTGGGTCCCCAGATGCAAAATGGGTATCGATGGAACCATCGAAGGCTATCAGAAGCACCAGAAGACTTGCGGAGCTGTCGAGCTGTTCTGGAAAATCCGATGCTGACATTTTCCAATGTATCAAAGACCTGCCTTCAGAAACGATATTACAGTATCAGGCTCTCGTTTCTGGTGTTGGTTCTGACGCATTCATTCCTGTCGTGGATGGTCATTTCTTACCAGACTCTCCATCATCTCTCGTGCAGAAAGGCCAAATGAAGCAAGCGGAAATACTTCTGGGAGTGAACGAACATGAAGGCATTATATTCCTCTTATTACTTATGCCAACAATATTTTCCCCGCTTGCAAATCAACTAAATGTCAACAGACAACAGTTTCGAACGACTGTAGAAACGTTAGCAGCATTCAATGGTCAGTCATCAACAATGGTCGAAGCAATTATGGCTCAATATGCTGACGTTCACGTCCCCTCTCTACATCCAAACTACGTGGACAGTGCGGACGGTGTCTATGGAGACGGTAGCTTTAAGTGTCCAGTTGCCAGATTGGCGGCTTCATATTCTGCCAAAAACAACGTTTACTTGTATTCCTTCAATCATAGGATCTCCTCGTTACCACTGCCGCCGTGGGTGGGAGTCCCTCATTCGTTTGAGATCGAGATGGTATTTGGGCATCCTCTTGGCAATGCCTTTATTGCATCGGAGGCGGAGAAGTCAACATGTCGGAGTATGATGACATATTGGACGAACTTTGCTAAAACTGGGTAAGTACTTTTTGTAGATATGACTGATGTTGTATATAAAAAAATGGCAGTGAGTTATCTGATGCGCCTGTAAACTGAGACTCACATGTATGCCATTTAGTGACTAGCTGTTTGTGTAAGGCCACAAGCTTCTTGGCGGCAGCCTGTAAATAATTCAGTTTAGGAGCGGTCGGGTAGCCTAGTGGTTTAAGCGTTCGCTCGTCACGCTGTAGATCTAGGTTCGATTCCCGACATGGGTACAATATGTGAAGCCCATTTCTGGTGTCCCCCGCCGTGATATTGCTGGAATATTGCTAAAAGCGGTGTAAAACCATTGAAATATGACATTAATTCCTCTGCCTTTGCCACTAGTTATCCTGAACTGGAACATCACACAAATATACGACCGCCTCTGTGGTATAGTGGGAAGAGTATCTCTCCTGAGACCGGAAGGATTGTTTGGTTGGGACGTGTTTAACGCCGCACTCAGCAATATTCCAGCTATAAGACGGCGGTCTGTAACTAATCGAGTCTGGACCAGACAATCCAGTGATTTGATATCATGAGCATCGATCCACGCAATTGGGATCGATGACATGCATTAACCAAATCAGCGAGCCTGACCGTCCAATCCCGTTAGTCGCCTTTTACGACAAGCATAGTCACCTTTTATGGCAAGCATGGGTTGCTGAAGACCTATTCTACCCCGGAATCTTCACGGGTCGAGAGAGACCGGAAGGAAGCTGGTTCGATCCTCTGGCTTTAATGATAACAAATGATTGGTTGGTACTTGTTGTTGCCCTGTCTGGCGCTCATCATGAATTGAATAAAATGATGACTAGCAAGCTCGGAGTCAGTACATTGTGGCTGAGTGGGATATTCATGTTAAATTGCAGCATGTTATCTCAGTGGGCTAGAACATTAAACCGATATGAATCTGGACCAATTAAAGCGTCCACACACATATATGGATGCCGCAATGTAAGTGTAACAATCTTGAAAGCGACATTATGCCCCATTTCACCTCATCTCGCATGATTTTAGAAGAAAATCTGTAGAATATAGCAAGTACGTTCTTTCGCCAGGTTGGCAATCAGTCGATGATGCTATAAAGTATATGGCTTTCTTAAAATTTAAATACTTTTGGAAAGAAGACAGATGTGAAAAGGACCATATTCATATTATATATTCAACAACAAAAGTTCCTGTGGCACCACTCCTTTAGTGTATTTTTCAAACAAGTAAAGTTTGGTTTTCAATATTGTAGTACATGTATGGAATCAAGTCACAAAAACGCAACTGCTACAGAAAAGCATGCATTCCATGCAAAAGTTGACTTTTATGCGACCCCCATGCATTTCACTACCCAAGAATGGGTATAAAAACATGTGCGTTGACGGGATTCCATATGCATTGTTTAGCATCGTGCTGACAACAACCACACACAAAAACAACAAACTTACGCAATTATTTAACATTACGAAATGCCACGCCTGTCCGAAAATGAGCGTCTGCGAGCCATTGGTATGCTTGAAGCAGGATCGAGTCAACGTGATGTTGCAAGACAATTTAACGTCCAAAGAAACACTATTTGGTGTTTATGGCAACGTTGGCAACAGAGTCAGAGTTAGAGACCATCCTCGGAGTGGCAGCCCACGCTAACCAATAATCGACAAGACAACTGGATTCGAACAACACACCTACGAACTCGATTCCAGCCAGCAACAGTGACTGCAAGAAGCATCCCTGGCCTTCGACGAATATCTTCACAAACCGTACGTCGCCGCCTCAGATGTGCTGGGATTGTCGCCAGAAGACCCGCCAGGCGTCCCATTTTGACAGGAAACCACCGTCAAGCACGTCTACAGTGGTGCAGAAGCGTCTACGCTGGACGGCAATGCAGTGGGGACAAGTTCTATTCACTGACGAGTCTCGTTTTCACCTCAGCCACAGCGATGGACGGATTCGAGTGTACCGACATCGAGGTGAACGTAATGTCAATCATTTTCTCATGGAAGAAGATCGGTTCGGCGGCGGCAGCGTTATGGTATGGGGTGGGATTACAGCAAGACAGAGGACCCGTTTCATAGTGGTAGAGGGAAATCTCAATGGACAGTGCTACCGCGACGAAATCATCGGCTCTGTTGTTCTACCGTTTTTGCGTCGTCAAGGCCGGGGTATCACCTTTCAACATGACAACGCCCGGCCTCATATTGCTTGACTTGTTCAGGATCTCTTCAACAAAACAACGTGAATGTCATCCCCTGGCCGGCTCGCTCCCCTGATCTCTCACCAATTGAGCACATGTTGAATGAGATGGATCGGCGCCTTCGACGTCAACCACGTGTTCCACAGACACTCCAGAAACTTCGAAACATGCGCCAGCAGATATGGACAGATATCCGAAAGGACTTTGTGCGACGCCTGGTCCATTCCATGAGGCGAAGATGTGTTGCTTGCATCGCAACCAGAGGTGGACACACACGCTATTGATTCGTAAATTGACATTTTGGCATGTTCATGTTTTTTTTAATGAAATCACGCATTTTCTGAAGTCAGTATGGCAAATGAAACCATTTGAACATTTACAGGAGTCTTTTATCTGTTGCAAACCGAAATTGTTTCAGATTTAGTAAAAAACATAACTTTACATTAAATCTTATTCAATATCACAGGAACTTTTGTTGTTCAGGATATATTGATTATGAAGCCACACTATCAATTATTCGCTGTGTTGCTGTGTGTTGTGTGTTCTTTATATCTTGATGTCTTGTTGTGTGCTGCTGTGTGTTGTTTGTTTGTTGTTTGTTGTATAACGCCGCACTCCTAGCTATATGACGGTGGTCTGTAAATAATCAAGTGCTTGACACGCATGGGATACGATGACATGCATCCATCACCCGATCTAATGACAAGCATATTTGCCTTTTACGGGAAGCATGGATTGCTGAAGACCATTTCTACCTTTTCTTTCTCCGTTGTGTGTGTTGTGTGTGTTGTGTGTGTTGTGTGTGGTTTTATGTTTCACTGTATGTTGTACATATATATGTCTTTATGTGGCGTCCATATGCTGTTTGTACTATATGTACACCACATGCCCCTGAAGCAGGATAGTGATATAACTGAAACACTGGACCCATATATATAAATAGACAAGGTACGTCACTGGCCATCTTGGCCGAAGTTGAAATCGGCTGTATCGTTTAAATTAAATGAAAATGTGTGCATGTCATGTTCACAATACCTCCACACCTCCCTCCAAATGCCACCTGCATGCCACAAACCTTTATTTTTGGCAATTTATTACCTACATCGGCGGGTGATTTTATCGACGTATTGGCTCAGTCGCGCCTGTGGGCCACGGAAGTAATCAAATAATCTCCGCGCTCAATGGCCTCGAGCGCTCTGATTAGTAAATATCCCCATGTGCGTTTGTTATGGTTGGAGCGCGGACCAATCACAGCACTCAACGCCATGTGAGTCGTTGATTGAAATTATTTGTGCCGAGAACTTAGAAATCACACCAGCAAGTGGACAATTTTTATGATGTTAAACGGGAGCCACTCTTTTTGACAGCAACCCCAACCTGCCGGAAACACCCAGCTTCCAGTGGCCTGGATACAACACGATGGATGAACGCTTCCTTGTCTTCTCTGAGTCAGGACAATCCACAGACCAGGGCATGAGAAAGCAGCAGTGTGTTTTCTGGAACAGTCTCGTGCCACTGATAAACAAGAAGGAGGAAACATCTACAGGCTCCGGCAGTAGGTCACGTTTCTTACTGTTACACATACCGTATTCGAAGGTAATAAGCGCCCAGGGTGCTCTCAAAATTTGAAATCGGGGCTCTTATTAGAATATAATTTTGGTGAGATTAAAAACGAGGTTGAAAGATTGTTAATTTTGTGGTTTATGCTGACAGCCTGAAATGATATGAAAGAAGAATCTGTGTGTATTATACACGACAGATATATTTTCGAGAAATAATTTGCCCATAATTAAGGGTACATATAACAAACGAGTGTGTATTATACACGAATAAATATGTCTTGTGTACATTGATCAATCGGAAAGGGTGCTAACTGGGATTGTTCACTAGCCATTACATTAGCAAATAACGCCGTGAGCGCTTTTTAGAGGGGGGCGCTTATTACGTCGAATACGGTATACGTGTCATAGACTAGTGCGGGTTGTGGGGTAGTCTAGCGACTACGGCATTGGATTCCGGTTGTCATTCTGAAGGCCAGGGTACGATTCGCCTTATAGGTATTGTTATGAAGGACAGACCTCTTGTATTGCTATTGCTGATGCATGATACAATAAATGTTTTATTATATACTTCAGTGTGAAAGACTGAGTTTTCTGAAGGTGAGAAAAGTGATATTTTCATTGCAGTGAACATAACACATGATATATTACTGCAGTGAACATAACACTTTGACGGAACTATTGTCATACAAGAGTTACATCCCCTTAAATTGTACCCTTTATCGTAAGTGTTGAAGTGTACATAAACTGTTGACGTGCCTGTTGCATGAGGTCCTCATTGACAAGGCAAATTAATGACAGGTGGTCAATTATGGACTTAATATCACTTCTTGCCGTTCATTTAACACGTCCATCGAGACGGTTCGTTTCGCAATGCACCTTTTTTTTATTTGTCCAGCGTGTATTTTTCGCTTCCAACAGCGGTCCACTTGTTTTCAAGAATATTTTTTGTTAAAGTTGATTTTGTATATAATCATACCTATATGTATGACACAGAATTTTCGTGACCCTAAATATTTTTTGATACTTTTGGTTTTATTTTTTTAAGATTTTGCAAAAAAGACTATTCTTCTTTTTCTTTTTGTGTTAGGTAGGGAGAATTTACGTTTCAAGGTTTTACATTTGTTGATTTATCGTTGTTAATGCGCATTAATGCAATCAGGCTATCTATTTAGTATATTTCGACTTTTCATGTATGCATCCGCTCTTATAACGGCCTTTTGACAATTACGAGTCGGTTCCTCTGTGGTTGAGGCGTTACTCTAGCATATGCGGCGTAATCGTTAACTAAGCACCGCGACAGGTACATTGTGTGAAGCACATTTCTGGTCTCCCCTATCATGGTATGTTAGAATATTGATAAAAGCGGCTAAAAAACATTCTCTCTCACTTTGGTAACGCAGTCGTTATGTTGTTGGAAATTTGATACACACTTTCTAAAACCATACTCACTAAAACATTTAATGTTTGCAATCAATTATTGTCGATGACCATAATTACGAGGCCAGGCGTCGTCGTTGTGACGTGACAGTGTTTCTGTAACAATATCTCAATGCCTGTCTCGTCTGTTTCAGCAACAACTGAGAACGTTGTTTACAGATGTCACACCAGTGGAAGCAGGATGTCATTTACCGTGAACATGTGCCTTGTTGCTGTACTTGCAACTTTAGTAAGTGTTTGAACTTGGAGCGATATCGTCAATTACATTGTGTTTGTGGTCATGTGTAGCTGTAGGTCTTCAAGCCTTATAGACTAGATCGATAACTATCTCTAATGAATCAGCTGACACGAATTTGCACAAACATTTCGAAAAAGATCAGCTGTATGACCATTCCTCCAAGACCAATTTACGCCTTAAAAGCGTGGTCTCAGCGCGATGAGATTCATATTGCTCATTACGGAACAGCAAATATAATTATTTAATTAAGCATTTTAATTTTATTTACTTACTTGTTTTTGTATGTAGCTTAATTGTACTTACATGTTTGGAAAAAAAAACACACCCAAAACACACCATCAGAAGGATGACATGCCCCAAATTAGTGTATAGCAAATCCTATTGTATTTTGTTTGTTTTTTTATGCAATTTTCTTTCAAACCACTGCGTGTAGGATAACGTTTTACCGTTAGATGTACTCATGTATATGTATGTACAATTTGTGACACCTATTGTTGGTGTATGTCGTTTTGATATCCCTGGAATATTTCTAAAGCCAAAACTATAGTCACACACTGTGCGTATTGTATGTACGTTAATGACATGGGCATGCGATAGGACTATTAAAATTAGAATTACCTCGTTGATAGCGCCGTCAAATCTATAGAAAACATAGCTCTGCATTGCGAAACACTGTTTTGGAAAGGCAATGCAATTTGATGTTCAATCGCAAAAGTGAAATAAGAGAATGCTGGAATGTGATAATATATTAATAGTTCTCCTTCGCTGACAAATAATATCTTCATGTATTAGATGATTTGCTTTAGCAGTTATGTGCTGGAAAATAAAGTATTATACCATATTCAGTTGTTATTGTCGCATTTTGATTCCAGGACGATGACGCAGTCTGTCTCATTGTTATCATTCCCGTTATTATCCGTTATCCCACATTATCATTCTCGTTACAAACACATGCAAAGGCAAGTCAAGTGTTCATCTGAACAAACACAGAAACATTGTGCTGCTTGTTATAACGAGGAATTGTATCGAACATCATGTTGGTCATGTTGGTATATATTTATAAATATATATAATAAAATAATAAAGCCCACGTTAGTCCATCATCTTCTTTATATCAGTTTCAGACATAGTACTTTCGCTGTCTCATGACAGCTCTTCAGTGTAACTGACAATGACATATAATATGACGTCATACTTATGATGAGGTCATAAATTACAACTGTGACGTCATAATGTATTTACACACTCCAGCGACGACACCAAGTATTTTAACAATTGTAGGGAGACATTTGAATTGAAATATGTAGTATTTGTAACAGTGTAACATTTACGATTGAAATGACAAATCTATACATACATTCTCGAGTTCAATTTTGGTTTCATCAATTGGATAAACATTTGTTCTTTTTCCAGTCTCAGCTGCTTGTTACTTGTATACAATTTATAAAACGGAAAAATACTAAATTTCCCGTTTCCGCAATCATCAATGTGTTTGCTGACACCTAAGCATCGAACATCAGGGTCTCTAATCTGCTGTTTGTGTTCAGTGACTCGGCCACAGATTTTTCATTAGGTTTCAGGAGAGTATGTCTTGGAATTTTTAACGACTTTTCTATGGCGTCATACAAGAGTTATAGCCCATTAAATTGTACCCTTTACCCATAGCTTCCTGAGATAACCCATCAATTCTTTCAATCTTAAGTCTCTTTTATCTGTTTCCGACACGATGGTACATACTCTCCGCGAAAGTGAATAAGAGTGTTAATTCTTGTATGCCTGGGGTGACATGAACCGAATTGTAAGTATTGATGGGTGTCCGTAAACACATTATACATGTTCAGTGGAGCGGAGTTATAATATATTTTATATGCAAATTGTGTGAGAGCCGGGTGCAACACTTACCCTTTCGATGACACATAGTGTCATCACTTTTCAGTGATCCATTAATACAGGTTTCACTAACTGGTTTCCCTTTTACGTCCTAAGGAATCTGTTTCGTCGGATGCATGAGAGGTTATTTTGTGGCGTTGACATTGAAATAGACAAGCATTAGCCTATAAAAGAAAATCGGACAAAGGCGCTTCCCTTTCATCGCGCGTCAATTCATTTGTGTTGCTTTTGTTTTGATTAGTTTGTTATTTAACGCCGCATTCAGCAATATTCCAGCTATATGACGGCGGTCTGTAAATAATCGAGTCTGGACCAGACAATCCAGTGATTGTTATCATGAGCATCGATCCACGCAGTTGGGATCGATGACACGCATCAACCAAGTCAGCGAGCCTGACCACCCGATCCCTTTAGTCGCCTCTTACGACAAGCATAGTCGGCTTTTACGGCAAACATGGGTATCTGAAGACCGACCTATTCTATCCCGGATCGTCACGGGTTTTGCAATTTAATGCTGCAACTTAATAGTCTTTGCAAAGGAATACTTGGTGATACTATTATAACTGACCCAGCTCTCCATGGTATGTAACTGACGTTATCTATCAAATTCAGTATAAAACACACTGTCATGACACACACTGAGATGATGACTCAACATTCCTACTCCAGTCAGTGTTTACCCAAGCGTGAATGGGGTATGGAGTAGAAGGCGCATGTTACCTTGACTGTACAAACAGCAATGAGGCCACGCTAGAAGTGGGAGTAGGTCGGCCGACATTTCAAAGGTTTACATAGCACATTCAGAGCAGTGAATAAAGTTATCTTGAACATATCTACGTGAGGTTTCGCGGAGCATACACCATGGCGGCCTACGTTCCATGATAAACGATTTAATTGTCAGCCACTCTGAAGGCAATAAAGACATCCCGAAAACGCACAATCAACCCACAAATGACCAAAATAACAACAACAAAAACAACACAAACTACAAATCTATCAGCCGAAATTTCATCCATCGATTAGTGTTCAACCAGACCAGCTTTCAACAGTAAACCTGGAAGTGATTCCTGGACAATAAGGGTTACAGGCATACTGTCTCTCATGGGCATGTCTCTGTGACAAAGATTATGGCTTTCCTCGCGAAATAGTCAAATATTGTATTGATGAGGATGGCCATTTTGTGGTCAAGACCTTTTAGAGAGGCTGAGTGATTGTTTTTCACACAGATGGAAGCTAAGTATTTTATTCACACATTATGAGCTGTGTTTTGTGCCACCCCCTAGAAATATCAATGGTCCGCCCCTTATAATATTTATTGACCTGAAAAGCAAAATATATTAACAAGCCACATAATCCTTCATTGAAGTCAACTTTGACATTCCGCCATCAATCAGAATCGTCACAACATCGACTGATGTCAAATTGGATTTAACCCAAAATAAAAACACAAACGTCACCGAGACACTGCAAACCTAAGGTTGAAGCGTTCGGTGTCACGCCGAAGACCCGGGTTCGATTCCTGACATGAGTACAATGTGTGAAGCCCATTTCTGGTGTCCCCCGCCGTGATATTGCTGGAATGTGGCTAAAAGCGGCGTATAACCATACTCACTCACTCATTTGGCTGAGGTTAAGTTAAGAAAAGTTATTAACAGAAACCGTACACCATATCAGCAGAAAGCAACTTTTTAGCTTGATGCTTGATTTGTGATTGAGCCTGACTGGCTTTCCTCTAAATAACAAACAGTACGACTAAAGAGGATACAAAATTAACAGTAATACTGCATATTTGGTTGCCTGCCACAGCTGTCATTCTTGAACTGACTATGTTAGTTCAAATGCGTGCATGACATTGAATTACAAGCAAAGTTTAAATGTTTATTGAAAACAAACACCCTTTAAACTGCCTCATAGCGCGAAACTCTAAAACTGGGTCACCCAGCCCCATACGTCACAACAAACAATATTACTTACGGAAGGTAAGTCAGAGTTACCGTGCCGAACATACAGCCAGCGATGCACAGGTAGGCAATCATCAAGATATATTTACTGATCTAACTGATCTACATCACCCTGTGAAACCATGGGCCTTCCTTGTAAGAATATAGGTCCCCAGCAGCCCATACTGGTCGTTAGAGGCGTCTGAATGTATGGGGCTCGGTGACATCGTTTCCAAATTGTGTTGATCGATGTTCATATGTGTTAATCACTGGATTGTCTGATCCTAACAATGATTTACAGAGCCCCGTCGTATAGCTGGAATATTGCTGAGTGCGACGTTAAACAACAAATTCAAATCCTATTCAGAAGGACCTTTAATTAACACCGGGACCTGTAGACGCCCCCGAGTTTAAACAAACAGTCAGGTGCAGGCAAAGTGAGAAAAACCTGATTGTCAGGTGAAGGACATAGATGAACCTAGATATCTGTAGTGATGTATCTCGACTAGCTTGAGGTGTTACAGGGTGACGGGGCGGTCTGGTAGCTTAGTGGTTAAAGCGTTCGCTCGTCACGCCGAAGACCCGGGTTTGATTTCAGACATGGGTACAATGTGTGAAGCCCATTTCTTGTGTCCCCTGCCGTGATATTGCTGCAATATTGCTAAAAGCGGCGTAAAACCATACTCACTCACTCACTTTAACAGGGTGACAACAAAATAACCTGAGTCAGTGTGACCTTCGGGGATTTCTCAGGTCTCACCAGTAACAATAAACACATTATACATGTTCAGTGGAGCAGAGTTTTACTATTTTTTATATGCAAATTGTGTGTGTGTGTGTCTAAAAGCGGCGTAAAACCATACTCACTCACTCATTTGGCTGGAATTAAGTTAAGAGAAGTTAATAATAGAAACCGTACACCATATCAGCAGAAAGCGACTTTTTAGCTTGAAGCTTGATTTTTGATATAGCGTGACTGGCCTTCCTCTAAATAACAAACAGTACGACTAAAGAGGATGAATAATTAACAGTAAGACTGCCACTGGTGCCATTCATGAACTGACTATGTTAGTTCAAAGGCGTGCATGACATTGAATTACAAGCAAAGTTTAAATAATTATTGAAAACAAACACCCCTTAAACTACCTCATAGCGAAGAGTACAAACAGCTAATTTCTTGGTTTTGTTGTTGTTGTGTATTTTCACTCTAGTGAGCGTCCGCCCGGAGAGCGGAAGGTCTGGGGTTCGATCCCCGACCGCGTCATACCAAAAGACGTTAAAAGATGGTACTTGTTGTTACCCTGTCTCGCGCTCGGCATTAAGGCGCTTAAACAAGGACTGGTCGGCTCGGAGTCAGTATACTGTGTCTGAGTGGGGTATTCATGTTAAACTGCGGCATGGTATCTCAGTGAGCTAGCACTATAAATCGGCATCAGTCCAGACTAGTACAAGCAGCCACACACACACAAACACGTGCATGCACGTCGCTATATAAGTGAAATAATCTTGGACGCGGCGTCAAACCCCATTTCACCTCACCTCACCTCACCTCGTATTTTCACATTAGACAGAAGCCACTGTACCCGGTATACTATTTCTGTAACAAAATACGTTTCTTTGTGTGTGGTTCTTTGTGCAAGTTGTATGAAACTAAGCCATGGGTTTATGATTACCGGGTATGTGAAGAAAGAGTACGTAAGTAGAACGGGTCAAATACAATGTCTGGGAAGCGACCCGCACGTTTCTATACACACATCGCGTTGAAAGGTGTTCAGTGACGCGACGTCTCCTCTATTCAAATACAAGTTCCTAGGACGGGTGTGTTTCACACAGAGCACAGTTCTCTGTGGTTGTATACCTGCGTATGTGTGTTGTCCATCAAGGTAGGATTTGTCTTTATTTCTTGTAAACATAGGGTAACGCAAATTTTGTCATCGTCCATTGAAAAATGTGTTGAAAATGTAATCGGATCTTGACTTTTATAGCTAGATTGACGTGTGATATAAGGCGC